ATTTTGCAGGAAAATCATGTCAACCTTGTGCACATTGAGTCCAGAAAATCCAAAAGACGCAACTCTGAGTTTGAAATTTTCGTGGACTGTGACAGCAACCACGAACAACTGAATGAGATCATCCACCTGCTCCGGAAGCATGTGAATGTGGTGGACATGGACCCTCCAGATAATTCCTGTCTACACGAGGAAGGTGAGACAACAGGAAATCAAAACTTCAAATGATGTTTTAAATAAAATGAAGATCTTAGTAACAGAAAACAACTTTTTATGATTTTTTTCAGACATGTATGATGTTCCTTGGTTCCCAAAGAAAATCTCAGACTTGGACAAATGTGCTAATCGTGTACTGATGTACGGATCGGAGCTGGATGCAGACCATCCGGTAAATATTTGACTGATGATTTACTTAATTTAAAAAAAAAAGACTCACTTGCATATGTGTTTGTTCATTTTTATCAGGGTTTCAAAGACAATGTCTACAGGAAAAGACGAAAGTATTTTGCTGATCTAGCAATGGCCTACAAACAGTATGTTTCTGCATTTTTAAGTATTAGTTTAGAAAATGTGCAACGTATTTTCTGCTCACTACTTAATTTTTAAAGAAAAAAAACATTTTTTTTTTTCCCAGTGGAGATCCCATCCCTCGCATCGAGTTCACACAGGAGGAAGTGAAGACTTGGGGTGTTGTGTACAGAGAGCTCAACAAGTTGTATCCCACTCACGCCTGCCGGGAGTACTTGAAGAATCTGCCTCTGCTGTCCAAATTCTGTGAATGTCGTGAGGACAACATCCCTCAACTTGAAGATGTCTCACGCTTCCTAAAAGGTGGGGTTTCATTTCCAGATTGAATTATTTATCTTTACTGTTGAATACTCTTGAATTGTAAATGTCTTTTCAGAGCGAAGTGGATTCACCATCAGACCAGTGGCAGGTTACCTGTCCCCTCGTGACTTCCTTGCTGGTTTGGCCTTCCGTGTTTTCCACTGCACCCAGTACGTCCGGCACAGCACCGACCCATTATACACCCCAGAACCGTGAGTGAGATTCACTGTTTGATCTAGATGTATGTTTGTTTCAATACAGTCATGTTAAGCTAACTATTCTGTCCTTCTTCTTTAAAAGGGACACATGCCATGAGCTGCTAGGTCATGTCCCACTTCTGGCAGAACCAAGTTTTGCCCAGTTCTCTCAAGAGATTGGCCTTGCTTCATTAGGAGCCTCGGATGACTCGGTTCAGAAACTGGCCACTGTGAGTGTCACAGTTTCAGACTAATAAAATGCCATTAACACAGTAGTTGTTTTAACTGCTTGTATTTGTTCAAATTTGTGTTGCAGTGCTATTTCTTCACTGTGGAGTTTGGATTATGCAAACAAGAAGGGAGGCTGCGAGCTTACGGAGCTGGCCTGCTGTCATCCATCAGCGAGCTGAAGGTAAAACCAGTGATCACCGAGATGCATTTTCTAGTTCTGAAATTGTAAATCTAATATTGTAACCCTTTCTTGTAAAAATGATCAGAAAGTGTGCAGCTGTGTTGCCTTTGTGAACCATGTCTGTCATGTTTTTGTCTTGCAGCATGCTCTCTCTGGTAATGCAAGAATAATGCCTTTTGATCCAAAAGTTACATGCAAGCAGGAATGCATCATTACAACATTCCAGGATGTCTACTTTGTGTCAGACAGTTTTGAGGAAGCCAAAGTTAAAATGAGGTGTGATTTTGTGTTGATCTAAAATAAATAACAGTAGAATTAGCATAAACAATCTCCAGAACGCGAATTTCACGTTAGTAAAACATCTAATAGTTCTCATTTTTCTAGGGAGTTTGCCAAGACCATCAAGCGCCCCTTCACAGTTCGATACAACCCCTACACCCAGAGTGTGGATGTGCTAAAAGACACCCCCAGCATCAACAGTGTGGTGGAGGAGCTCCGACACGAGCTCGACATCGTGGGAGATGCTCTCAATCGGCTCAACAAGCAGCTGGGCGTCTGACGCCCCACAGTTCAGTCAAAATCAGGTGTTCAGGCTCATCCTGTGGTCCTCAGCTTTGGTGTAGAGATGTCACTTCTGTCATTTTTTTTTTATTATTATTATTTTGCAGTAATGAATGTTCACAGCCATTTGACTAAATGTCCGGATGTCTTCGTTATACAGCTCATGATATTAACAGCTGTGTGGTATGCTTTGCTTTTGATGTCAGCACACCCAACAGACCCAAAGAGCTGCTTAATCTGAGGCTGAGGCACTACTTTTGCTTCCATCTTGGATTATTCTGGATTCTGTGTTGCAAACAACCAACATGCTTTCACCATCCCTCAGCCAATACCCCTCCCTGCTGTTACAAACACTCATTCTTCCTGTTAACTCTGTTGCTGTGTTTGATCATGTGGTTTTCTTTCATTTTTGTAATTTAATTATTCTCTCTTTCATGTCATCGATAAAATGTTTGTATTCTCTTGGTGTACATAGCCTGGTCCTTGTGCGCTGTTAAAGGAAATTATGAAAGCTTAAACTAGCCAGTGTTATAAGAATACTTTCATGATTGATTATGGCAGACTTGACCTTTTCTATGTTTGGTTGACTCTACAGTGATGCTTTTATCTTTTCATCTAGTGGATGTAACCGTAGTGTTCAGTGTATTAAAATGTTATTTTTCTACTGTAAAATATATTCGTTAGAAATAGATTGTGCATCAAACTAAAAATAATAATAAAAATCACTTTGTGTCTTAAAATAACTTGTTTAAATCTGTAGTATATATGATTCAAATTGTTTACCATATAACAAAACTTGAAACAGAAATCAGAGCAACAGCCATCATATTGGTTTCATGCCATCCTTGAGATCTGTATTACTGTTCATAACAAATTTATTGATAACTCCCTAGTAGTTTGTCTCTGTGTGCTTCAGTTTACCTCCAGCATCATTCCCCCCATAATGAAAACAAGACAATAAAGAGTTAACTTAAAAATTCTTAAAGTGACTTGAGAAACCTGCTGACCAACATGCAAATTTAACATAGATATTTGTATTTTTATGAGAAACGGAATAACAAAAACCTTGTAAAGCAGTCTAAGTATTGCTGAGCTATTAACATTTTGGCTTTTTGTATCATACCAAAACAAAAGCATGTCTATTTGGAAAATAATCCCAGTTAATAAAGTCAACTGGATTTCCTGTAAAATTTATGAAAATAAGTCCAGTTGCCTCCTTTTCTACAAGGAAGAAAACATTTTTTTTTTCTTTCTAGGAAATAGAGGGGCGAATATACTACACACAAAACAGGTGCATGTTATTTTGCACATGTGCAAAAAATTTTTTTTCTCATTAATATGTGGTTTGCACCCCTTAAAACCCAAACAATCCATTTTTACAGCAGAAAACTAGACATTTTATTTACTGAAGTGCTTTCAATCACGCGTGTGAAGGCTTGTTGTGAAGGGCTTTACGACAGTGTCGCAAATAATACCCGTTTCCTTCACTTGGTGTTCCATGGAAACACGGCGTGAGTTTTGTTTACATACTTGGGTAAGTTTGTTGCCTGTATTTTTAAACCGTATAACTGATGTTTTTCCTGCCATCTGGTTATAATATATTAAACTCTGACTTCATGCAAAGTTGTGCAATTATTCTGAATTTACTGTAGCTCTTTTGCTAACTTTAGCTTAACTAGCTGATGCTAAAATGTATGAATTACAGCTGAAACCCTCAGACTGGCTGTTTGTCTCCTGTGTGTAATAAGTACGTGTCGTTTTTGTTAGGGGGCTAATAGCTACGGACAGCTGGGACAGGGACATGTGGAGGACATGCGTGTCCCCCGGCTGTCTGACAGCTCAGTTCTACAGAACCGAGCAGTCCGGACTCTGAGTGGTGGAGGGGGGCACTCCGTGGTCATCACTGGTATCTCTTTGCTTTTAATAAACATTTTAACTCTTCAGGTTATCTATTTTTTCTTTTCACGACTACGTAAGTCATATTAGCTGGATAAATCAAATGTAATAATAGAAGATATGGTTTGATTTGGTGGAAATAATTGCAAAACACAAGATTTTTTAAATCACACATTGCATTTTTTTGCAGTTTCTTCAAATAGATCTATTCTTATAGTTCAAAGTGCACATATCTGTCATCCCAGTTAATAATCTAAGCAATTTTTTAAATAAAATGTTCATAGTTATTTGTGTTACTTATATGTTTTTAAACAATGGCTTTTTGGTGCATCTTGTGTTGGACAGAGAGCGGTGAGTTGTTTGTGTGCGGACAGAATAACAAAGGCCAGCTGGGACTTGGCCACAACGCTGACACCTCAGCTTTTCAGCTGTGCCCCATTTTAAACCAGAGGGTCAGAAGTGTTTCCTGTGGTTGGGATTTTTCTCTTCTCCTCACTGGTGAGCACTTGTCATCATTTACCAGGCCTCACTTACAAAAACACACGTTTAACATATGCTTGAACAATATAGGGACTGATGTTATAGCTGCTTCTGCTAAAATGAATGATTTCACTCATAAAGATATTATTAATTGCTGGGCTTGATATAAGGGTTTATAGAAAACATCAGGGGCCTCATTTATCAAGCTTGCTTATGCACAAAACATGGTCGGAAAACTGCGTAAGCAACTTTCCACGCAAACTTTGGGATTTATGAAAGAAAATTTAGCGGAAAAATTTGTGCAACTTTAAGTTGACTAAGGACCTTGCTTACGCACACTTTGGACATGGAGAGCACCTGCAGTGCTGCTGCTGAGAAGGATACAATTATGAAATCCTGCAGCATTATCACTTATACTGCTTCGTTTTCACACAGAACAAGACCCCTCACACGCACACACACACACGCGTGCGTGCACACACACGCACACACACGCACACACACACACACACACACACACACACACACACACACACACACACACACACACACACACACACACACACATACAGCCTGAAGCGCAGAATACGGAATGCAGAATATCAGCAGGGGGACAGATTGAGACAGAATGTCATGCGTCTTTGACAGTGTGTGTCCTGTCACTGTGACCCGATTGATCATGCGCCCTGGCTATTTGTACAGGGGAGATCTCCGTTTGGGTGACTGGTTAGCGCGCGTGACTTTCACCTGTGAGTCTTGGGATCGAATCCCGGTTGGACCATTTTTTTTATATCCGCCACAGATCTCTCTGAAGAACTCAGCATTGACGGCTTCAGCAAAGCTGTGCCACTCCGTGGATTTTCATTATTTGTTTTGCAAAAGCACTTCCTTTCATTCCTCCACCTCAGCCACAGGTACCTGAATTTCTGCTTCTGTGAAATTGTGCTTCCTTGATCTGCCTTGATCTACGGTCGCCATCGTCATTGGCAGAGCGCTGCAACAGCTGGCTTATGTATGTGCATGAGATCCACAAGGCACTTTGCATTGACTATTTATGGCAGTAAGTGGGCGTGGTGAGGGCAGGATGTGACTAAAATGCAGCTGAGAAACATTCTCGTTAGTCTCCGATTTATGAAGCGGAGATTGCGTGCAGCTGTACGTACTCCATGTTTGATAGATCACAAACCTACTTGGCGTAAGTACATTTTTTTTGCTGAACTTAAGTACGGTTTTAGTAAGGATTCTATGCAATGTTTGATAAATGAGACCCCTGGACAGGTTTTTACAGTTGTGACAAAATTTATATAAAAAGATATTCATGATTGTTTTATAAATGAGGTTTCAGCAGGTGGTTACTGTAGTTGTTCCTATGGGGATCATACGAGTTTTTTTTTCTTTTAATTTTTAATTGTCTAATGACAGATCTGTTTTGCTCTGATTTCCTACATCTTCTGCACACCTATAGGCTTTATAAATGAACATAATCAGAATATCACAGTCATGTCACAAGTATTTTATTTAAAAGTTGAATATACTTTATTTTAATCATCTAAACACATTTTTATTGTAACACTGGCAGATTGTGGTCAGCTACTTGCATGTGGCTCTAATGCATTTGGACAGTTGGGTGTTGGAGAAAAAATCAAGCAGACTGCTGATTTTCTGGCTGTTGAGGTAAATGCATGTAGTTTATTTGTTTTTAAAGTAACACTTTTTTACTTTTTTTATGTGTTTTAAATGTGGTCACCTCACTTTTGTTTCTTCTCAGACACTAAAGGAACCAGTACTGAGTGTTGCAGCAGGACTTAGACACTCTCTTGTAGTTTGTGGTAAGATAACATCATACATTATCACATCCTCTCCTTTTTTTCTATTTAGCAGCTAATTAATAAATTATTTCTCCCTGTTTAATTTCCAGACTCAGGCTCTGTGTATCAATGGGGAACTGGCCTTTTTAGTCATGCTAAAAGAACACTCAGTCCACGCCCTGTCCCATCATATCTGTGTGCTAAGGTTCCTTGTCTAGTTCCAGGTAAGGCGTACTGGAGCAGAAATAACAGTGACACAATGAGGCTGTTTGTTTTTCCACTGGTGATTGAAAGGTGTGTTTGTGGTGTGCAGGTCTCAGTCAGAGGACACCACACTCTGTAGTAGCAGGCTCAACTCACTGTGTGTGCCTTACAGGTAAAACAAACAAACACAAACTAAACAAATGCGTTAAACCGCACAAAGGCTTCAGAACAGAGTCTGGTCCAAATATAGCAGATAAGAGAAGCATAAATGTGGTATAATTTTAATGCTCATATGTTTAGTCTGGTCTGTGTTGTAGTTGGCTCACTCTTGATTATTGGTTTGCTGGAAAGAAATATTTATTTCTTTTTGCAGGAGAAGGCGATTTATTTATGTGGGGAAGCAACAAGCATGGCCAGCTAACCACATCAGAACCCTTTCTGCCCTCTCCCACTCTCCTGAAGCCATCACTGTTTAATGGAGAGAAAGTTATAAGTGTTTGGAGTGGCTGGACTCATGTGGTCGCTCAAACAGGTACACAGGTGCAACTGTACCGTGTATGTTTGAGATGCTTCTTTGTTTAGATGTAATTGTTTAAAACATAGTGTCTCTTTCTGAATTGGTTCTAGAGAGTGGTCGAGTATTCACATGGGGTAGAGGAGATTATGGACAACTGGGCCGAAGAGCCTCAATCAACCAGAAAACAGAGCAGCACTCAGCTGATTCTGTATCAGAAGGTGGCCACAAAGCCAGTGAGGCTTGCTTTCCTGAAGAGGTTAAAGTCCTTCATGGAGCAACACAGGTAAGACACAATAAGGCCTAGTCCACACGTAGCCGGGTTTTTAAAAAAACGAATATCCGCCCCTCCAAAAACTTGCATCCACACCACCTCGTTAAAAAAAAAAACTCTGTCCACACGTACCCGGATAAATACGTTGTTAAGGACATGCCAGACCTGTAGGCGGCAGTACTTCCCCCGTTCTTAACCTCGTCCTTCGTCTGTGGTCTTCCGCAAGGAGCAGTAATTCCGCTTGCAAAAACAAACAAGCAAAAAGCGCTTGGACAATTGGTAAAGCGAGCGCAGCTCTGAGGGCATCCATGCTGTCGGCTAGTGTAAACACAGGTCGCACACGTGATGTCAGCATTTTTTTGTTGCGGAAAGTGACGTTGCGGACCTTAAAACTCCGGTTTTGTCCGTCCACACGCAGACACCCAAAACGGAGAAAACGCAGATCTTCACTTTGGCCGGAGTTTTTAAAAAGATCAGTTTTCGTGTGAAAAAACTCAGTTTTCGTGTGGATGACAGGCCAAAACGTAGAAAAATATCTATGTTTTGGCAGATCCCCGGCTACGTGTGGACAGGGCCTAAGTCACCTCTGTTGAGAAAATGACATTTCTACAGGTAATAATTGTTCTCCCTGTTGACATGTGTTCATCAGTCCAGCAGAGGGCGCTAGGCAACCAAAGATACTTAGTGAGGAGAGAAACATGAAGCTTCCTGAAAAGAAGCTTCTTAATGTTTTGTTTCTCCTTGCCCTACAAACAATCGTGTCATTATTTATGCAGCAGAAACAGAGACACTCTCTAGGGAATACTTTTCTCCTGTCAGGGTAATTCTTTGTGAGCATCACTGCTGCTGTCAACCCGTGTTCTTTACTGCAAGTGCATGGTTTGAAAACCATCATCAATAAAGTGGATGTCAGGGACGAGCAAGGGCAAGTTCTGGATCACTATTCCACTGAGGACAGATCGGTGCAGAAGCACTGGCCTATGTCAAAGTCTAATCACTGTGCTTGTGTGTGTGTTTGAGTTTGGGTCGAAGCCAAGAAGCAAGATGAATTAGCTGAGTGGGCTATAAATCTCTGAGCCCATTTTAGTCTTTCAAATGCTATTTAAGCAGGGTTAGGGTTCCAGAGGAGCAACTTATAACCCTAACCCGTGTAATCATTTCCAGAGGAGCAACTTATAATGTTCAGCAAGCCAAGAATCAGTAGGTGTTTTTTATTTACTGATTTCCTGAATTCATCTAAAACCTGCCTTGTTGAGGCTGTTCAAACCCTGATAGGAAATGTAAACCCTTCTTTATGTATCTGCAGTGGTTTCCGCTTGTTGTTATGGAGCAGGGGGACTAATCTGACTCATTTACAGAATAAATTGGCTCTAGTGTCGACAGCAATTGTGCATCCTAATGAAATTAAGGTCCAATTAATTTAGCAAATGTGATTATATTTTATTTTTAGTGGAGCATTCCCCCCCCCCCCCATTTTGTTTTCCATATATGTTTCTTATCCAGGATTATAATCCTTGTTTATCACCATTTTCATGATTTTTGTATTCTTTGTATTTTAAGCTCTTTGTCTCCTATTTTTATAATACAGGTTTCTTGTGGCTCTGAACACAACCTTGCCATTGTAGGTAAGTGTATCCTCTTCACTCATCTTTTTTTTTCATTGTTTGTCTCTTTAAACGTCTCACTCGGTTTTCCAGTACATTTGCTGTATAAATGATTAAAAGCTGTTTTCTGGGGGGGGAAGTAAAAATAAAAGCTTTACCGGGCTGCGCAGTGTTTAGAGCTGTTGCCTTGCAGCGAGAAGGTCCTGGGTTCGCTTCCCTGCCTGGGATCTTTCTGCATGGAGTTTGCATGTTCTCCCTGTGTATGCGTGGGTTCTCTCCGGGTGCTCCGGCTTCCTCCCACAGTCGAAAAACATGACTGTTAGGTTGATTGGTCTGTCTAAATTGTCCTTAGGTGTGTGTGTGTGTGCATGGTTGTTTGTCCTGTGTGTCTCTGTGTTGCCCTGCGATGGACTGGCTCTCTGTCCAGGGTGTACCCCGCCTAATTGCCCGTTGACTGCTGGAGATAGGCGCCAGCCCCCCCGCGACCCTGCGTGGACAAAGCAGGTTCGGAAGATGGATAAAAGCTTTACCATTCTTTTCTTCATGGGGAAGAAGTTTGTCAGTGGTGCTGGGCGGGCGCACAAAACGGAAGGCTTATGAGTCTTATTAATATTCATGACATGCAAATGTGTCACCTCTAAAATGGCTAAATCAGACAGTGATGATGACTTCACAAACACAGATTTAATGTACAACCGTTATTTCTAACTGCAACAACTGAAAATTAAATTATTGAAATTGTTAATTGTGAAAATAAAAAGTCTACTCATTGTAATGACCTTGATATGGCTATAATTAAAAAAAAGTAATAATCAAAATAGCAAAACTCTTAACCCATACTGTATCTGCAATATATATTTTCTAAGTGGGGAGTTTCCCAATCTGTTAAACTGCAAAGGTTAGCTCCAATCTTAAAGGTGGTGAGAAACATCAACTATCAACCAATCTCTATACTTCCTCAGTAGCTGTCTGTAACTCGCCTGAATGCTTTTATTGAAAAACTTAATTTACTTAATAATAGTCAATTTGGTTTCAGACACAATAGGTCAACTACTCTTGCATTGTTTGATCTTATCAAGGAGGTAACTAATAAAATGGATAATAAAATGATTTTTGTGCCTTTGACACAATAGACCATATTTATTTCTTTACTGTGGCTAAAACAGCCAATTGTAGACAGTTTTCATGTTCAACTTGCAACTCAGAATGACTGTTTGCATTTCACGAACAACAAATTTTACAGTTTGACAGAAATGACAATAAAATGCATTTAGGGGAATCGTGTCAAACTGGGTGAAATATGTACAGATGGATGAGCACATGGTCATGATTGAGAAACATAAATTGTGGAGTCCCCCAAGGTTTCGTTTTAGGACCAAATTTGTTCTATAAATGACCTATGTAATGTATCACCACAATTGAAATTTATTTTATTTGCTGATGACCCCACAATATTATGCTCAGGCAATGACCCACAACTACTTGTGGCATAATTAGAGAAATTTAAGGATTGGTTTAAGAAAAACAAACTAGCTCTAAATAAGCTGGATGCTCCAGTGTACAAAAGAAATTGGCAAAGAATATTGCTATTATGAGACAACGTAGATACCTTTTGGACCATAAAGCACTACTCAGATTGTACTATTCACTTCCATATATTAGTTACTGTGTGGAGGTCTGGGAAAACACATATAGAACTCATTAGGAAACATTATTTAGAATTTTTTTTAAAAAGCTGTTAGGATTGTGCATAATGTTGGGTTCAGGGACCACACTAATACAATTTTCATAAAATCAAAACTTTTAAAAAGTCGATGATCTAGTGGACCTAAAATCACTGCTAATCTTGTATAGAGCAAGGAAGAACCACAGCTTCCAAGCATTATTCAGATACTCTTTAGTAATAGTGAAGGTGGATATGATCTGAGGGGAGCTTTTAATTTAAAGGTGCAGTGTACTCACACCACCCTCAAGTACCAGTGTGAAAAAATGTGAAGGTATGGAATGGATTAGATGATTACTTTAATACACTCCACTTCAAAAAGCCATATAAGCAGGGGTGCACGTAATATTTTTGGGTTGGCACTCAGGGGAGAACCTATGGTTGTTGCTTGGTCCTCACGTTTTTTTAATGCACTTAATTCTTAACCCAACTCACAATAGGAACACAACAGAGTAACGAGTTGATGATGCAACATATTTTAATTTTGACTGAAAACAATAAGTACAACAGGTACATATTGCCAGCTTAACTTAAACCTTCTAATTTTCAAACATGACTGAATTGTCTGAATGTAAACCACAATGTGTAAACAGCTGCTTTTGTGATAACAAAAATAAAATAAAATGAATTTTAAAGCCCTTAACAAAATTACTATTTCAGAGCACTAAAGTTTTTAAAATGGCACAAATGCCGTTTTTATTTCTACAGACTCTCATCATTCTCATCATCATCCTCCTCACTATCCTGACTGGCTTCCTCCAGTTCACACACAGCAGAGGACAACTTTCTGATGTTCTCTGCTGTTAGTATGTTTATCAAACGCTGGATGATTGAAGTTTTCAGTGCCTATGTAAAAGGCGCTGTTTTTGTCAGCCAGGGAGGGATTTTCACAGCATAATCTGCTCCACATCTATGTGCGTTCATTGTTTGTTTGAAGCCAGCCGACCTCCTGCAGCCACTTCTCCGCGAATACTCTTTTCTTTTGCGGTTCCAACTCTGATGTTTTTTTGGAGGAACACCAAAATAATTACTTAATTGCTTGCTTCTTGGACATGCTCCAGAAATGTCTTTCTTCCTCCACAAAATTTTAGGTGTGCAAATGCGTGCTGTAGCTTTTTTTCAGGTGCGCATTGTTTATTTTGACAGCGCATGCGCACCTGCGGACCACTTATGTGCACACCTGCATATAAGATGATTGTTGTTACGAAATATTTTAAAGAAATGTGAAAAGTAGCTCCATGGTTTCATTCAGTCCATTTGTTTTATTACAAAGGAAAATTATAAATAAACTCATACCTCAGGATAGTGAGGTAAATACCCAAACTGATTCATACAAGTAATAATAAATATATTTAAAGGTATATTAAATGCTAATAATATTCCCATAGATTCATAAACTGTGAATTGTGTGTTGTAATTCTGGATATGGAATGAGGGGTAGGTGAACGTAAGCTTCCCTGCTTCAGCCTACACCTTTTGAGCTCTGTTGTTGTAATGTTGTGAACTATGTAAGAGTAAGAATATAACTGCTCAAATAAATAAATAAAAATCATCTTTCATTGGCTAACAGCAACCCGACTCTTCCGCCTTTGTTAACAAATCACAATACATATTTTATTGAGTAAAAATGCAACTTTGGCATTTCATCTCCACAAATAACACAAGCCTGAACATGTTCTGTCATGTTGTGGAGTTGCTAATGCTAGCAGTTTGCTTCGACTAGCAAGACATACTCTGCTCTTTCCCTGTCACGAAATCAACAACAGGCTTTCACAGTCGCCAGTAAGGTGGGTGAGTCCATGAATAGAAATTCTCTATAACGTAGAAGAGACTTCTTATTTCTGATCCTACTGTTATATTTATTCCTTTGCTGTGGCTAAAACAGATGGTAGGGGTTCATAGACAGTTTTCATGTTCAACTTGCAACTCAGAATGTTTGCATTTCAGAAAAAACAAATTTTACACAGTTTGTCAGTAAATGAAACCTTTAAAACTAATCTTTTTGATTTTGTTATTGTTGTAAAGCACTACCGCATCATGGTGCAGCCACCCCTGTGCTTCAATGAAAGGTTGTACATTCTTGTCCATCAGCCCTTCTGCTTGGACTTCTTTTTAAACACGTTTTCTTTTGTATTTACCTTTAATGCATAATTCATAACTTCACCAGAATGATAAATGAAGGAGGGGATTTAGTATGGTGGTGGTAGTAATAATAATAATAATAATAATAATTATATAAATTTTAACAATGATTGTTCATTTAACCTAAATGTAGAGCTGGTTGATTATCCATCCATCCATCCATCCATCCATTTTCATCCGCTTATCCGGAGTCTGGTCGCAGGGGCAGTAGCCTAAAGTGAGAGGCCCAGACTTCCCTCTCCCCAGCCACTTGGGCCAGCTCCTCTGGGGGAATCCCAAGGCGTTCTCTGGCCAGGTGAGTGACATAGTCCCTCCACCGTGTCCTGAGTCTACCTTTAGGTCTCCTCCCGGTTGGACGTGCCCGGAAACCCTCACCAGGGAGCCATCCAGGAGCCATCCTGACCAGATGCCCAAGCCACCTCAACTGGCTCCTCTCTGTTAGGGAGCAGCGGGTCTACTCCGAGCCCCTCCCGAATGACCAAGCTTCTCACCGTATCTCTAAGGGAGAACCCAGCCACTCTTCGGAGAAAACTCATTTTGGCCGCTTTTATCTGCAATCTCGTTCTTTCGGTCACTACCCAAAGCTCATGACCATAGGTGAGGGTAGGATCGTTGATCGACCGGTAAATCGAGAGCTTCGCCTTCTGACTCGGCTCTCTCTTCACCACGACAGACTGGTACAACGCCCGCATCACTGCAGATGCAGCACCAATCCACCTATCGATCTCACGCTCCAGTTTTCCCTCACTCGTGAACAAGACCCCAAGGTACATAAACTCCTCCACTTGAGGCAGGACCTCATCCCTGACCTGGAGAAGGCATTCTAGCCTTTTCCGAATCAAGAACATGGTCTCATATTTAGAGGAGCTGATTCTCATCTCAGCTGCTTCACACTCGGCTGTGAACCGCTCCAGCGAAAGCTGAAGATCACGTTCTGATGAAGCCAACAGGACCACATCATCTGCAAAAAGCAGAGACCTGATCCTCAGGCCACCAAAACAGATGCCCTCCACACCTTTGCTGTGCCTAGAAATCCTGTCAATATAGGTTATGAACCGAATCGGTGACAAAGGGCAGCCTTGGCGGAGTCCAACTCTCACTGGGAACGAGCCCAACTTACTGTTGGCAATGCGGACCAAGCTCTGACACCGGTCATACAGGGACCTAACAGCCCGTATCAGAGGGCCTGGTACCCCATACTCCAAGAGTACCCAACCACACCTCTCCAGGTCTCACTGTCGTTGCCCACTTGAGCGTTAAAGTCCCCCCAGCAGAATGAGGGAATCACCGAAAGGAGCGCTTTCCAGCACCCCCTCCAAGGTCTCCAAAATGGGTGGGTAGTCTGAACTGTAGTTTGGTGCATAAGCACAGACCACAGTCAGAACCCATCCCCCCACATGGAGGTGGAGGGAGGCTACCCTCTCATTCACTGGGGTAAACCCCAACGTACAGGCATCAAGATGGGGGGCAACTAGTACGCCCACCCTTGCTCTGTGCCTCTCAGTGGGAGCAACTCCAGAGTGGTAGAAAGTCCAACCCCTCTCAAGGAAACTGGTTCCAAAGCCAGAGCCATGCGTTGAGGTGAGTCCGACTATATCTAGTCGGAACCTCTAAACCTCACACACCAACTCAGGCTCCTTCCCCACCAGAGAGATGACATTCCATGTGCCAAGAGCCAGCTTCTGTAGCCGAGGATCAGACCGCCATGGTCCCCTCCCTCGACTATCACCTGTCACACACTGCACCCGACCCCTTTGGCCCCTCCCACGATGGTGAGCCCATGGGAATAATAATAATAATAATAATAATAATAATAATAATAATAATAATTAATGTTATTTTTTTAAACAATGATTGATCATTTAACCTAAATGTAGAGCTGGTTGATTAATCAAATTTTAATCCCAATGTGATATGGGTTTTGAACGATTAACAAAAGGATCCACTTATTTGCTCACCCTTTGTGAGTTATTTTTCCCAAAAGTGCCTAGCGAACAATTTAGTGATATTTCTGAGGACCCATAGCTACTTTCTGTAAAACTTTGTCATCTAAATTCCATGTGGATTAGCTAACAACACATCCTGTGCTACAGACTGTCCTTCCGGAAAGAGAATTAAGTACTAATGTGAAGCGTAACCACGTTACGTTGACTGACCAATCTTAAACCTTTCTTAGCGATCTAACTCACACCTTCATCTCCTCACGCTTAGACTACTGCAACTTGCTGTTCACTTTTCTGAACAAAACCTCCCTGAACCATCTACAGGAGGTTCACAATGCTTGTCTTGAGCTTCTGACTATATTGTCAAAGTACACCCACATCACCGCGCTTCTCCTCCAGCTTCACTGGCTGCCAGTCAACTTCAGGGTTCATTTCAAGATCCTGGTTCTGGTCTATAGGGCCTTACATGGACAAGCACCATCTTACATTGGTGATCTTGTCAGTCCCTACACCCCCAGCAGGTCCCTGAGGTCCAGTGACCAAAGCCTACTGGTTGTGCAGCACCAGGCTAAAGACCAAAGGTGACAGATCATCTGCTGCTGTGGCCCCCAGACTCTGGAACTCTCTCCCCCTGAGCCTGAGATCAGTGGACTTGGTGGTCTCCTTTAAAAAGCAGCTGAAAACTCATCTGTTCAAGCTGGTTTTTGGGTAACTTTCATCACCATGCTTTTTCTGCTACTAATACCTCTTTCTTATTCATGTTCTCTTTCCTTACATTTTTAATCACAATTTTTTTTCTTTATGATAACTTTCAATCTTTAAAAAAAAATCTTTTTTATTTTTGAAAAATTTGTTCTTGTGAAGCGCTTCATGTTTTTTATCGTGAGAGGCGCTATATAAAAGATTGTTTTCTTTCTTCTTTAAAAAAACTGTGTTCATAAGCAAAATAAATTCAATGTACAGCGAGCCATATCTGAAATGGATTCATTGTTGGGCTGCAAACTCTCATGCTATGAGCATAAGACACATTAGACTGTCTTCATGCGCTTTCACGCCACACCTATTTTGCAGACTGGAAAATAATACTTCATCTATTTGAGCGACACGTTGCATCGTGCTACTGCACACTAGATAATTATTATGCAGGAGGTTGTAGAAGTTCACTACAACATAAGATGTTTGTTTTTCTCTTTATTTTTATATTGTAAATGTTTGCACCGTGTATATGAACGTTAATTTAAGATTGTCGTAAATAATCAAAATCTAAATTTCAGTCAAAATAATTATAATTTTTGCTATAATCGAGCAGGCCTACTTCAATGTTAGAAAAGTAATGTTCTCATCTTATACTTTATCATACTTCCCAGCCTATTGGAGATCATAAATACTACCTGCACCATGGACCCTTCTGTAATTGACTGAGGTGAACGATTCTGTGTGGAGCATTACTGCAAACAAGATCAGTGTCTGAATGACTGAAGGCCATCATGGTAACAAACTGATAAAACATCATTAATGTTACGTATCTCATGTCTGGAAAGAGGTCCATTGGTTTCTGTAAGCGTAAGTGACTGAAATGCGAGATGTCGCTTTTGGTCTGACTGCTTAAAGAAATAATGAAGACGCATATCCAACTTTCACCACCTCGCCCATCTTATTCATCTGTAATGGGAATATCAAAGGCTTCAGAATTAAACCACTGTGTAATAAATTAATCTGCTGAGAAGTTTTAAGGTCCGCTTTTTGCTCTGTGGTTCTTCATCAAGAGTAATTAGTGTGGAGAGATGGATATCGCTGACAGATGATTCCCAGAACAAGGCTCTAAAGGAGCTAAATTACCACATTTACAGGAACCACTTTTCTTCAGTGGGATGATATGAGAGCAAGTTCAATCCACTTAAAAATGTAATAAATACACTCCAGTCATAAACGGTGATTAAAGACAGACACATCTGAGCTTCTGATCAGAATCCTGCTGGGGTTTTTCCATAGTTTCCATCTAGCAATTATGAGACACTTTGGAGTTAAAATTCTCACATTAAATTTTGAACACTGCTCCAGATTTTTACATCAGCATGAATAAAAATACCACAGATGAATACTAAAATGCAAGTGCAGACTTCCATCTAGAGAGAGAAACTTTTAACATTGCTGGTGCTACAAGCATACACGCCACTCGCCTTCCATCCTCTGATGACCTGTTAAACATAATGGACATGCAGGGAACTAATGATTGTCCATCATAACAGAAGAAGTCTGAAAGCACCATCTTGTGCTCTTTAATGTTCATTTTAAGGATGAGGAAGTGGCATGTGTGAACCTCCCATCACTTCGCTCCACTGTCACGCTCTCCTCTCTTTTCCTTTTCTCTCCTCTTGTCTCGACTGGTGGCAGGAGCAGTGAAATAGCAAAACAGGATTGGAAGCAAAGACCTGAGTGTTGCTATTTCTGGTGCTGAAGTAGGTCAGGCAGTAAAGAATACAGAACATTGAGCGCTGGTTATGATATCTGTTGCTCACTCGGCCTGTGCCCGTTCGCACCTGGGCGAGAGGTCCTCATGCGTGAAATTCATCTTGGATGGCCAGAGGTGGGAGATAGACCAAAGACTCTGTGGGCACAGCTCATCCAATCTGGGGAAACATTTTCATGTGAATACTTAAACTTACTGGGACAATGGAGGCACAAAACACACGAGGGTTCATTTACTTGTATTTATAGACTCATGCAAGTTTAGGCTATGGGGGGGGGTCACTGTTGTGCTGTTTATTGTCAGGAATTTTGACACCGGATTGGTTCACCAGGAAATGACTCGTGGTTTGAGATTTTTTTATCATTTTGTTGTGCAGAATATTGGACTGGCACTTTGTTGCCATGGAAACACCGATGTGTGGTATTATACTCGGTAAGTATGAATTAAGCACAGCACCAAAATGAGTCCCCCTGTGTTTTATCACGTCCAGATCACTAATAATAAAAGTCATGCCAGCTGAAGTCCACTTATGGAGCCACGCTGCGTCGTACACACAGAGCTAAAAGGGCTTCTGTGATGTGTGAGCTGTTTCAGGTTTTCACACTGACTCAAGCTGCTGGTGTGAAATCCTGGTGTTTAAACTGTTGAAAGAGTAAATTATTTTGTGGGTGACGAACTAGAGACACAGAACGACACTCGATGAATTAAGTGAAAACGTGGCACAAAGACACGCAACTACTGAATGAGGAAGATGAGTTACCCTTGAGAAAGCAAGTAAGCTCGCTTCTGTTGCCATGGAAATGGAACCTATTAGGTAACTGTGTTGCCATGGCACGTGTCTCCTCAGTGATGCAGACCTGACCACACCCACCAACAAGCTCACCAGCTGTGAGGAGCAGGAATGCTTCGTTGCCGGCCAAGTGTCGGTGTTGAGATCAGAGAAGCTCTGCGTGTGATTGTGTGGCTGCTGTTTTATTTATTTATTATTAATCTTTTTGTTCCCAGCCCTTCGGCTTGTTGCTAATTTCAGCCCGCATTCACACACCTCTGCCCCCTCTCATATGTCCTGTCACTGACCCGAGACCACTCTCCTTTTCAGGGGGGCGCCTTCTCTCGTGGGGTTGGAATGAACACGGAATGTGCGGCGACGGTTCACAGGCTGACGTCTATCCTCCTCAGCTCGTTCCTGACCTGAGACCTGCTCTTATTGGCTGCGGAGCTGGACATTCGATGGCAGTGTGCGCTGCGGCGACTGGTTTGAGACAGACTGTGGACTCCACATGAGAAGCGTTGCAGCACGAACAGTGCACAGAATCACAATCAGACCACAGAAACACAATGATTATGGGAATTAAGAAGCTCCTCATGCTGTCAGTTCATCTCCCTGTTCTTCCAACCCTGAGCTAGTTGTCACACTGTATGTGTCATAAATACTTTGGTGAGTTCAGTTAAAGCATGCGTTTGGCCACCTTTTTTTTTTTTTTTGCTGCTGATCAAGTCTCATAATGAAACTGTTGTGTTTTAAGACTAGACTGATACTAAAACATCATCTTCTAATATTTGTACAATATTATGTCACAGGAAATTGTCGGTCTCTGCTCCTATTCCTGATGTTTCTCTTTTTATTAATTTCATTGTCTAAACACACAAATCATGTTATCCTTTGTTCATACATTTGTGGGTTTGTAGCTTATATACTATTCATTTGTTTAATTTTGACTTTTAGTTGAACCTATTGACAACATTTGACCTAAAAATGCATGTTTCTAAGGAGAAGACATCAGCAGCACCAGCTGGAACTCCTAGCCCCGTGCCTAATGGGCCAAAGGCATTTAAAACCCTCAGGTCTGCATGCTTTAAGTTTTTGTTGCACATGTTTTGCATTTAAAATGTGGAAAATATAAACATCAGTTAACTTATTCTAAATACCCTTTGACCTTGGTTAGTTAAAATAAAACACTCACTGAAAGCTGATTAGTTCTGTTTTTTATTTGTTACTATTTATTGCACAAGTCTGAACTGTATTGGTTAAAAAAGACACACAAAAAAATCTCTGAACATCAAATCAATCAAAACGATCACCGAACACCTTATTAGGATAACTAACCACAAACTGCACTGTGTCCAAAACACACACTCACTAACATTTCACTAAACTGCACACATCAGTTGCATTGTAGTTTGTTTTCATCTTTGTTTTGTTCACGATTACAGCTGCTGTGTTTCCTTGTTTGTTTGTTTGTCTTTTTCTGTCTGTTGAACAAGACCAGCATCATGATCCCAGCTCTACTGGCAGATTTAAATCTGCTTTCACTAACTGCACACAGATCTAAGGAAGTTGTTGGCAGTGTGTTTGCAGTTGTTTGGTAAAAGTTGGTCCCTTCTCACAAACTTTTTCACATAAGCAATAAATCTGTTTGCAGCATTTGTGCTTAAAGGGCTTATTCACAATTTTGTGAAAAAACAATATTTACCCCCTTATAGATTTCTTCCATTTGTTTGTTTTGTCACACTTAAAGGTGCAATATGTAAGAATGACATCATGTGGCCAAATTTGGTTACTGCAGCCTATTTTCAAAACACACAGGGTGACTCACTTTCATTTTGTGAGTTTCGTGACTGTTGCCGGTTACGGCTCAGCGCCAGAAGACTCTGGATACCAAGCAAAGACGAATCATATGCAGTATATGGATAAATAGTTTGTCGTATCTGGTGTTAGCACTCTTGGGTGTTACTACACTTACTACACTGATTACCGTAGCTTGTCTCGGGGAATAATGGAAGTGTGGTTGTTTTCTGTTTTGCTTTTAGCTTGCAGTTTTATTTCTAAACAACTCATTAAAAGGAAGTAAAATGCCACAATTGACTCATTATTCATTTCATACATACATTTTACTGTAATATCGAGTTGTTGGTAATTGAAAAAGTAGCTAGAGATTTTTTTTAAGGCCAACTTCTTTTTTCTAATTCACCATTAGCATTGTTAGCTCAACATTAGTCTCTAGCCTGCTTCACCTGATTATAGAGTAAAACAAAAAGATGCCGTGACTTCTCAGGGGTACAAGACATAACTTCTGGGTTGCTTCTGTCTTTGGCTTAGGATCTTTGCAAAACATTGTAGAGTTTTGCTGGCCAGTGTCGAATAGCAAAAGAGCGTTAGCTCAGCAACCCCGCGGGCTCATAGATTGTAAACAGTGACCACGTCCCTCTTTGACCTTTTCAAAAGAAAATAAACCAACAACCCCCAGCTGGCTGTTTCATTATAACCTCATACCAACATGATTGAGACATGAGTTTGTTTTGTGATGTAAAATTATTACATATGTTATCTTTAAATGTTTAAGATCAGAAAACAAATTGCTATGTCAACAAAAATAACCTGAGTAAATAAAAATGCAGTTTTCAAATGTGGATTTCACATATCTAAGGGGGCAAACGGTACATATAACTGGCTGGTAACAACTTCATCAAGTGTGTATTATAACAGATGGCCTGTCACATCATTTTTCATTGCAGAAATGTAATTCAGCCTCACTGAAGTATTTTTCAGCTTGAATGGACTGGTTAAGGCAGTGCAACATCATTGTAAACGAACGTAGGTCTGAACTTTGACACTGCCTCTCCAACACCTTTAATTTGTTTGCTTTTTAATTCCATATTTGGTTCTTTTTAAAACACAGATAAGTTTTTCTTTACCTTGCTGACGTACGTTTTGTTTGCCGACTGCAAAACATCCTCAAAGCTGACGCTGATGGCGGCGTCACTTCCTACACCGTTTATCCGTGGGCAGCAGAGGACGTTGTCACCCTCTGCTTCCCGCTCTCCCCTCTCCGATGATGCAGTCCCATGAGCGATCCAATGAGTAAACTCCATCATCTCTGTTCATGGCCCCGCATCCACGTCTCCTTATCTCTATAGCTTCCTTTATCCATCTTTTGTATTTCTGTTGTTCGGTGTTTATGATCCTTGTGTTGTCCCAGTCCATTATATGGTTTTCTCTTGTGCAGTGATCTGTTACGGCTGACTTCTTTATTGTGCTTTCTGCTTCTTGTGTTGCTGCTTTTGTGTGTTTTCGACTTGCCTCTTTCTCGCACTCCTTTCTATGTTCTATTGTTCGTGTGTTGAGTTGGCGTCCGGTTTCTCCTATGTGTGTTTTATTGCAGAGTTTGCATGGGATTTCGTAAACGACTCCACATTTAAGTCCAGCTGGTATCTTGTCTTTTGGGTGTACTAGTCTGTTTCTAACTGTTGTGTATGGTGTAAACCAGTGATAACCCTACCATACATCAAAGGCATAACAGAAAAAATAATAGCAACAATGAAAAAACACAACATAAACACACCAACAAAACCATACACAACAGTTAGAAACAGACTAGTGCACCCGAAAGACAAGATACCAGCTGGACTTAAATGTGGAGTCGTTTACGAAATCCCATGCAAACTCTGCAATAAAACACACATAGGAGAAACCGGACGCCAACTCAACACACGAACAATAGAACATAGAAAGGAGTGTGAGAAAGAGGCAAGTCGAAAACACACAAAAGCAGCAAAACAAGAAGCAGAAAGCACAATAAAGAAGTCAGCCGTAACAGATCACTGCACAAGAGAAAACCATATAATGGACTGGGACAACACAAGGATCATAAACACCGAACAACAGAAATACAAAAGATGGATAAAGGAAGCTATAGAGATAAGGAGACGTGGATGCAGGACCATGAACAGGGACGATGGGGTTTACTCATTGGATCGCTCATGGGACTGCATCATCGGAGAGGGGAGAGCGGGCAGCAGAGGGCAACAACGTCCTCTGCTGCCCGCAGATAAATGAAGTAGGAGGTGACGCCACCATCAGCGTCAGCTCTGAGGATGTTTTGCAGTTGGCTAACGAATCATACGTCAGCAAGGTAAAGAAAAACCTTTCCTGTGTTTTAAAAAGAACCAAAAATGGAATTAGAAACTAAACACAGTAAGAACACACCAACGTTGTTTGCCTTTTCCTAGCCATTCGGGGATTGGCCTGCTGGTGTTTTGGGACATTGTCCTGTTGTGCCTGAGTGTGCTGGAGCTGACAGTGACACACTGAAGGTCTAAAGAGAGCCAAATTCACATAAATATTCAAGGTTAATTTACAACTGAACATGGAGCCAGGTTATTCTGGATTTGTTGCTTTCAATTTATTATTTGGAAATTGCGTTTTTAATTTATTGAGTTTACCTTTGTCTGAATCTTGCATTCTGTTTGCTGATCTTTTAAACTTAAGACAAGTAAAATCAGAAGAAATCTAAAGGGAATAAAAACTTTTCCCACAGCACCGTTGGTTAGCTTGCTGCTTGACTTCAGATGCTGATTCATTCGGGGGTCCTCGCTGTTTTTGTTTATGACGGCTGGTGACTAAACTTAAATGCTCATCTGGTAATCTTATAATCCTCTAAACGTTGTGAGGAATTTGAATTTCAGAGGCACTTGTCCAGTGTGAAGAAAATGGTTTGGCAATAATAATAACAATTATTGGATAGTAACATATGAATGTTCAAAATGCTACCTTATACATGATTGTGAATTAAAATCCTACTGTGCTGCATAATAGTTATTTAAAATGAGTTATGGAATAATATTGCAGATTTTGTGTATAAATATCATCAAGATACTATTATATTTACCCAGCTAATTATTTTACCTGGTTTTCCACATTGCAACTTGCTCCAGTTACTTTTTATTCCTTTGACAGAACTATAAACTACCCTATTTTCTCCTTGTGCAACTTCTTGTGGATTACTGTCTCTGATGCCTGAAAACATATCAGAGGAATGTTAAAAGTTCACTGGTGCAAAACAGTGCAAAACTCTACAAAGATGTGACTGTGAAAGTGCAAAGTCTGGCTGATGTGACGTGTGATTCTTTTTGTGTCCTTTTCTTGTTGGAACGATGTGTGCCTAAAATCGGAGCAACATTTTTTTTTTCTCAACAGAAGAAACACACAAATATTTGATGATCACTTAAAAACACTTTGGTACACACAACTTTCACCACACACACACATACACATTCACACACACACATATAAAGCATATTTACAGCACTGGCACACACCAAAAATTAGGCACACAGATTACAACAGTCACAGATACTGAGCTACATAAGGCTTGACAACAAAACTTCTTCAGTGCTACATCTATGCTGAGTTTGTGATGTACAGGTTGCCACTGTCACACCCATTTAAAAAGACTAAGGTATACACACAAAAGGTGCTACAGCACTATCAAGTGGGTGATGGGCCATTATGGGTCATACACATAGTGGTTGGGACACCATGGTTCATAACACAAACTGACTCTGTTGGTTGTCTGCTCCGGTGCTGTCGTTGGGTCTCTATAAACATATAAAAAAACAAACAATAACAAAAATAAATTATTACACAAGTTTAATGTATAAAGATGGAAATGATGGTGATGATGGAGGTTAAAGAAAAATGTGCTCCGTTAGTTGGTCATGGTAAACGAAGGGTTTACCATGTAGTCCCATGCTCAGCCAAGGCATCAGACACCAAAGTACCATCTGAGTGCAGAGGTCTGGACTCCGGGTCTGGTTAATGAACATGCCTGATCATGCTGCGTTTTACGGGTTCGACATCGAGTAGATCGGTCACCATCATGCGTATGTTTACTTAGCAGCATGCTCTCAGTCGCCTGTTTTGGGTTTTTTATGTTTTGTTCATTTCTCATTGGTTGGGCTAGAAGAGTCCAACAGCATTTGGTAACACTTGCAGTAAGCCAGTAGAAAAGGAAAGATGAAGAAGGATTCACGTTCTGTTGAATAAAAACCAAGTCTAAATGCTTGTTGTGTATAAAATTTATTTCATGCAAGGACTTGTATTTACATGTTTTATTTGAATACTTTTTCTTTTGCATAAATGGAAAATACATGCATTTACCTTTCCCCAAGTAGACCCACATCAAATACTGTCATGTTATTTTATTTTCCCACTCTTCCAACTGGAATTGCATCACCATAAATTCATCTGCATCTCTTCAACATCAAATCAACACAATGTTTCCCCCCCCCCCCCCCCCCCCCCCTTAAATAAGTAACGTCCATTAATTACCACAAGAGACATGACTGGAGACGTAAAAACTCAGCTCAGCCAGGATCAAAAACAAAACTTAAGACGAGTTGCTATAATTACAAGATCTTCTAGAAATGAACACGGCTGATTGATCAACATAGAATTTGATAAAGTGCCCTGAAACAACTTGTGCATAAATATTGGGACAGTATCAATATATGTAAAAGTATTGACTCTTGGTTGGTTCCTCGCTGGATTTATTTAACTTCTGTGGAGTTTCCTGGTCCCCTTTTCTTAAAATTGTGCTTATAATATAACAATACATGAGGGCTGGAATGTCTGTTCTCTTTTTTTTTCTCTTTTTGCTCAGTGCTATGTATCTTTCTAAAGGTTAAAATATAGTATCACTAGTGTAACGATAAGAGGACATTTGTACCATGATTAAGAGTTTAAAACTAATGCAAAAGGTACAATGTGCTTTGTTAGAGAAAGTAAAGTTGTTACACATTCGTGAGCAATGATATAAAGTGTGAAGATGCTACACTGGGAGCGTTCTCTAATACTGAGTCGAACTATCACTCAAGTGTTTTTTACATTGCCTCACCTCGTTTGAAGGCACCTTTGATTTATATTTAATGAATTCTGCATCAGTTAGAACAGCGCTAACAGGAGTTTGCTGCGGCAGACTAATAATTGTGTCCAAAAACCCAGTAAATATAGTCGTATAAAAGTTCTGCATGCTCCGAACACCATCGGTTGGCTTTGTCACAGATTGTTCAGGTGAAGTTCCTTTTACTTTTTAGGCCCCAGTCAAACCAGTAAAGGAAAAGAATTATGAATTTGGGGAAAGGCAAAGAATGGCAGCTACATAAAAACCTCTGCTATGACTGAGTCTCTTGTAAAGCTGTCTCAAAATGCATAAAAATGACTAAAGCTTTAGACGCTTTTTTTTAAAGAATAGAAATAAATCTAACAGTTACTGCGTTACAGTCTTGGTTGAACATAAATTATCATGCAAATCATGCAAATGAACAGTTTTAGTTCAGTAGACATTAGCTGTATTCACCACTTGTATCATAGGAATTTGTCACCATTTCCATATTGCATCAGACATCAAGAACATTATTATGTTCAATTGGTTTTCCCCTTATAATGGCCACTCAGCTAACAGTGAATCTTGTCTGGATTGCACTTCAGAATGAAACAAAATAAATAAACATCTCTACTTTGCAACGCACAAAGCACTTAAGAGTTGCCTTAACAGCCTCTGAAAATGTTTAAAAGCCATGTATTAGTTTCCAGCGGATCACTAGCAGGGGTTACATGTCATGAAAATTTGGTTCACAAAATTCTACAAAGCAAATAAAATAAAACAGCTTTTTCTTTTTTATTTTTTATTTTATTTTAGCAGAATAGTATGAGAGATCAAAAGCAACAGAGCAACAGGCAATGGTGTCAACACAGGAAACAAAAGAGTGGAGTTGGCCTGCAGAAGAAGAACGGTGCTTTGTCTGCAGCTGAGATGACCCATGCAGAGTGGCATGTGTCAGTGTTGTCTACTCTATGGTATGATGACACACCCAAGTGGAACACTTGAGCATCAGCACAGTTAAGATACAGTTTGTCAAGGAAAATAAAGAAACAAAAATGTAAATAAATTAAAGAGCAGGAGTGAAGGCAAGTGTCAAAGCAAAAGTCTGACCGGAAGGATAAGAAGGTGGAAGTGTGGACTGGCCTTCCAATGGCATTGTGTCTGCTACTCAACCATGCTACATAATGGATGGGATGGGAGAATGTGAGTGCTGCATTAGACAGGGTGGGCTGCAGGGCAGGGCGGACACTGAGGACACTCCAGAGGCATCCCCGCTCATGCCAGACATGCTGTTAAGGCTCCAAGGCTTTTCATAACCTTCAGTTGAAAAACAGAGAACGTTCTGAGTACACTGCAGCACTGAATCCATGACAGAAAAGTTTTATTTTTATTGTATTCCTCACTGCTCGTACTACACCTGTTGCTTTCTTGTTTTTGTCTCCAGAGAAATAGGTCAAACACCGACTTGAGGCAGATTGTTATTCTCCATGCATTGGGTGCATCAGGAGTACAACAGCATGCACCGGGTGGTATTGGAATGGTTTGGAGTAGAGCACTTGGAAAGACTCAGAAAAAGTAGGCACCCCAGATGGGACAGGTACATGCAGCCACAGGCTGAATTTCACACTACTTGTCTGCACAGTCTTTCAGATAGGAATGTGTCAAAGATTATTTCTGAATTGATCTAAAATAGAACGTTTTAGGCATATATACTACTTATTTTGTATATAGTAATAGATTTTGTGTTGTGCTCCTCCACCATACTGATAGCACCCATCAGCAAGACACTTCATGCACCATTTACGGTCAAAGAAACGTACTCCTAAGTCAGAATCCAATGTTATTATCATTAGAACACGTATACATACATGATACACATGTAGCACATAAATACTCTCTTAGGCATGTCCGACAACACATTCTAAATCCTATAAATCTCAAAAATAGCTTTCTTACTGGTAAACAAATAGGGGCATTGCATTATGCGTGGTGTAAAAAAATATATTATGTAGATGTAAACAAAACTTTTTGACATTTGCAGTGATTGTGCTTGGCTTTACTGTAATCTTTTTAGAGTTTAGATACTTATATATTTATAAATATGTACAATCCCAAGCTAGATGATTGAGAAAAAGCAGCAGTGGTGTAAAAGTGTGTGAAGGCTGTTGGGTGAGGTTTTGTCGTTGCGTGTATTTGCGCCTGTGCTTTTTGTAAAGAAGCTGAGACAAAAAGAAGTGTGCTGTTGGTCTACAGGGTGTCAGTGTCTCGGGGGCCCTTGTGATTGGCTGTTACTGTACGTACCCCTCCTCACTCTGCCCCCTGTGTGGTTGGGACGTTCGGCCGTGGTGACCAAGAAGCAGGGCCTCTCTCTCTCACTGGGGCTGAAGATCTCCTCTGGAGATATGGCCTGGTCGATGTGTGGGCAATCTTCGTTAGCGAGAGCTGCATTAGCGGCTTCACCGTTAATCTTGGAGTCTTAAAAAAATGAAGAGAAACTAAATAAATAAAAGAAAACATTTTGTACAGAATTTTTTTAAAAGATAACCCATTTAGTAGGGATGTAAGAAAATATGGATATGGCAATATTTTGTGATATTTTTTCCAGATGTGACAGTGTGAGTGTCCTGTCACAGTGTCCCGATTGACCATGCGCCCTGGCTACTTGGCCAAGGGGATGTCCCTTTGGCTGGCTGGTTAGAGCGTATGACTCTCACCCGGGAGTCTGGGGATCGAATCCCGCCCGGGCCCTCGTTTATCCACCTTGCCACACAGAGATATTATATTGATATTCAAAAGCCGTGTATCTGATTTATGGAAGAATTTACATGCGAACGTTTGTGCATTTTCTTTTCTTTTGGTGCAATTCAAATGCCGACTGCTAGATGGCAGCAGTGTGCAATGGGTTTTGTTTCCACCATTAAAATGTAAATCTCTCTATTATAGTTCAGATACCTCGTATTAAACATGTTAAGTATCAGTTTGGACTGTTTATTGAATTTTCCTACAATAAATTATATCTAAATGAATAATAATAATAATAAAAGAATATTAATATGATCTGTCTGAATGTATCATAATATATCGTGACATATTGTATCGTCTCCCCTGCATCGTGATACGTATCGTATCGTTATAATTTCACCAATACTCACCCCAATCATTTAGCATCTTTAACCACAGGAATTGATGCAATATTAAGGGTCAAGTAATGTGGGTGGATTTCCTTTCAAAACGCTGCATTAAGGGCATTAAGTCGGTTAGCATCTACTAATGGTTGTTCTTAACACTGTGATTACATCCCCTCAGTCTTTAGAGAGAGAATGAATGAGTCACTGCATTAAGAAGTGATAAATCAATAGCAAGATTACTCACAGTCTCTGCATTCTTTTATCAAGAGTCAAACATCCTTTTATTACATACTTTCATTAGAGGTGGTTTTGATCAATCCATTCATTCCTCTTGTGTCTGAGTCACTGGCGGATGCATGTGTGGGGTCAGACAGTGAAACTGCTGGATAATGGTATGGCCAGTAAAGCAGAACTAAAAAGTAGTGAGCTGGTGGTGAAGCAGAATTTGTGTCTTGTTTGTCTTACCTTGAAATTTGATCTCAAAAACATCGTCGTTGGGTATGGGGCTTGGTTGCTGGGAGCTGATGCTGGACTTACAGTAGTTAGGAGAACCAGGTTGGGGTGCTCGAGGGATATGTCTGTTTTTTTTCTTTGGTAGTTTCTGTTTTGCCATGGCCAAGGAGTAATACATTCCAAAGTTGTTGACAATCACGGGGACGGGCATGGCGATGGTCAGGACGCCTGCCAGGGCGCACAGGGCTCCAACTAGCATACCGAAGGTTGTTTGAGGGTACATGTCTCCATAGCCAAGGGTTGTCATGGTCACTACAGCCCACCAAAATCCAATCGGAATGTTCTTGAAGTGTGTGTGCTCACTGGCTCTTGGGTCGTTGGGGTTGGCTCCGATGCGTTCAGCGTAATAGATCATAGTAGCAAAAATGAGGACACCTAGAGCGAGAAAGATGATGAGGAGCAGGAACTCATTGGTGCTGGCCCTCAGAGTGTGGCCCAGCACTCGCAGCCCCACAAAGTGACGGGTCAGCTTGAAGATACGCAGGATCCGCACAAAGCGGACCACTCTCAGAAAACCCAAAACATCTTTAGCTGCCTTGGAGGAGAGACCACTGAGCCCCACCTCCAGGTAGAAGGGCAGGATGGCCACAAAGTCGATGATGTTCAGCGCGTTCCGTATGAAATCAAATTTGTTCGGGCAGAAAGTTATTCGCATCAGGAATTCGAAAGTGAACCACACCACACAAACGCCCTCGATGTAGGTGAGGTAGGCCGCTGTCTCGGTCTCCTGGTAGAAGTTCACCACCATTTCATCGCCCACCAGCTCCACGTCCGTGCGGTTCTTGATTGGGTTGAAGGCTTCGTGGGTCTCCAAACAGAAAGTGGTAATGGACACCAGAATGAAGAACAATGAGGCCAGGGCTATCCACTGGAAAATGAAAGAGGAGAATGAGCACATTAACGCACATCCTGTTGGAATCAAGCATGACGGCTTTAACCGTTCTTAGCAGGATGCAATAGCATCTAGTTGTACACCCATTTTTATCTCTGGCTTTGCTCAGAATGTCATTGTGAAAGAAATGATCAGTGGAAGCTTGCCTTTGTCCCTTCCTTTGCTGTTTCTCAAGGTCAGGGCGGTATTTCAATGAGTATCCTACATGCAGAATTATAAAGAGCCAACTGCAGCAGTCCAAGCAAACAGGACATTAGTGTCAACCCTTTTGTCTATATTTAGCTTGGGCTGTTCCCTTCCCTACTGTAGGTCTCCCCTCCACAAGGTCACATCATCCAGAAGATCAGCTCTTGGGAATCACTGTGAGCTCAGAGAAACCCATAATTCCCTCATCGGCAAAAGAGTACTTTAGCCTTCATTATGCATTGATTAGATTCTCAGATTTCATCACATTTAGGTTTTGAGAGTGACTACAACGTGAGAGTAACAGATACGGTTTCTCTCCAGAGTATTGATTGCAACCCTGGTATCATCCTCATGCAATCTTCCGCTGGTTTACAGCGTGTTTTTTTAGCTGTACACAAAGAGAAGTGAAAAAAGCCGCTACTCACTCATCCACAGGGATCAGAATGGACCAGAGATGGACAGGAAAGTAAACAGGAAGAGAGGATAATCATCCAAAGACATGCAAAAGATGGATCAATAGTTTGTGCATGAAACTGTCAAGCTTCGAAGTACCCCTTAACCTAATGCATGTCTTAGTTAAGTGGCAGGAGGGAATAATGAATGACTTAAGAGAATATGAGTTAAAATGGGCAGGTCTGGGCATGAACTCTGCTGTGTGCTCCGCTCTGTGAGGAAAACACTGCCTTGTTGGCAGTTGCATCCTTTCACTTGGAGGGAGGCAAAGCAACACAAGATGGAAAACAGGCCCTTGTTATGACATCTCATCACCAGCAAGTCATTGCACTGTGCTGAGGAAATCACTGCTGCTTATGAATATCTGCTTCCCTTACATTGTTAGTCTAATGGTCCAGGGGGACACAATATGAGGACCACAGAAGACTGCTTGGCTGCTCTCCGCAGGGCTGTCCTTAAACAAGTCTTTAAATGAGCAATTAGGGAAAATTACTGCAGAATTTCACAAATGTGAAAGTCCTTTGCAAAGACAAGCTAATCAGGTAGATCTGGTTCAGCGTTTGTTGACAGAATTTGAGTAAAAATGTGCTGGTGTTTTATCTGATTGCATAATGTTGTTTAGTCCACCCCCTCTGAGCTCTGCTCTGCACACAAAAACACACACTAATAGGACATTTTATTCCATTAAACGTTACTACATAAAGTGAAAGCAATCAGGTTAGGCAACACTGCTCAGGGTTTTTCCAGTGTTTTGTGTTTTTGAACTGATTGTTTTTAACATTTGGGACTTTGCGGCCATTGCTATAATAAAAAAATGCCAACACAAAATAGATGAAGCCACTTTCTGAAAAGCTACTTTGCAGATTTGTCCAAACACACTAACTCTGCTCTGCCAGCTGAACATCTCGCCCTCCTAACAATGAAACAAATGCTGCTCGCATAAGACTGTCACTTTAGTCGTGCATCTCTGAACACTTTTGTCAGTAGGGATGGTACTGGCTCAAAAAAAGGTTTATTTTTATGTAATTCCTACCCTTGCAGGCAAACCCTGTCACTAGAGCAGTGACAAAGGCTTTTCACTATTACATCCTCTGTGAATAGAGTCTGTAATTAACTCTGAAGCTGATGTCTAATTAATCTCCTCACCAGTTTTGGTAGCTCTCTGTCAGTCTCCGCTCTGCTTTTTGTCATGCTTGTTGCTGAATGTGGGGCATTTTCCACATGAAAAATGTGGTAGGTTTATGCTGCCAAACTGCTTAAGGGTGAGAACAGGTTTGCTGTTGAGTGCCTGAGGACTATTTCCACCAGTCAGGTTGCTACAGCTGTTGAAACAGCATGCAGCACAGTGGTTTTCAGAGGATCTGGTGGTCAGGATCAGGAGACAGTGTGCCCAGATGGAAACGTGCCCATGACAAAATCTAAAAATGACACTTCAAACAGCAACCTCATTTTTCTTTTTTATATATCTGGAGGTCTGCCATAAATACTGTGTTGGTGCCAAAGAGCTGGTCTCCTAATGTGCAGATGACCCATTTAACCAAAGAGACATGCAGCCCAGAAATCCTTGTGGGCTGGAAATATCAGGCCAAAGACCTGTAGGAGTTAGAACAGCTTCTTTGTTTGCTGCTATAGGAGAATAAAATGAACAGAATGATATTGTTTATTTTCTTCTTTTTAGAGTTTGTGATCTCTCACAAAGGAGATCTCTAGTTGTTTCCCCATCCTGGAGGCATTTAGAATATATTTCTGATTAATTTGTCCCTAAATTCTGCAGAGACAATTTGCACACTGAGGAATCCTAAAACTACTCACCCTTGCATATTTTGAAGAGTAGGGGTCCTCAAACAGAGCCCAGACGCGTTTCTGCCACCGGCTCCACAGGCTCCCGCTCCGCGCATCATGTGAGTCCCCCTGCGCCAGCCTCCTTGTCATCTCATCATCATCCTCATGCTCCGGCTCTGGCTCAGGATCATCGCTCCCCAGGTCTAGAAGGCCCCCTCCTCCGAAACTATCAAGGGCCTCCTCTGCCTCCCGGTGCTGACGATAGGTCATCCAACAGCACGGCTCCACATCCGTCTCATCGATGCCCCAGAAGGCCAGCTCCTCCTCATAGAGCGGCCCGCAGACGTCAGCGGGGCAGTGGAGCTTACCTGTCCTGTAGTAGTTAAGGATGTGTGCAAACACGCCGGGGTGGCGGTCGAAGAAAAACTCCTGGATCTTCTCATCATAGTCAAAGTGGTTGGGCGCGTCAGGCTCGGCCAGCCAGGACAGACGCGTGCCAGGTAGGGTGCGCAGGGTGCTGCGGTAAGTCTGATGTCTGATCCCTCCCACGTTAATCACAATGCGATCCTTGTCGTCGCTCAGGCCCATCTCGTCCCTTAGGCATTTCTCCAATAAGCCCCCCTCATCGCAAAGGTCAGGCTCAGGCGCACTCTTTAACTAGCAGCGGTCGGAATGACGGAGACGCACGAGGCAGCCAGTCGTGTCTCACCCACCGGGAACGCAATCGGCACTGTCTGCACACCGTACTACATTACCTGCACCTGGACCTGGACGCTCTGAGGTGTGATTCACACGCTGGATTTTGTGGAAGAATCCAAACGCAAATGAGATCGCATGAGGAATGAGGACGTCACATCACTGACAGGTCCGAGATGGAACAACAGAAGAGGTGGCGGTTTCCTCCCACGGCGGAAGAACAGGCCCTCATTGGATTCAGCAGGTAGCTGATCAGCATCTGTTTCTGACTTTGACAGCAAGGGGACTGCGGTGGTGCTGATCGGACAGCGTCCCTCTGCTGCTGCTGCCTACAGACCCTCCTCCTTCACGCTCCCGCTCTGTGGTGTTTGACGCCACCGCTTCAACCGCAAGTCTTTGTCTCAGCAGATAATATGCTGCCCAGCTCGGAAACTCTGCCCTGCCACTCATGCACTACTACGAGAGGGGAAAAAAATCCCAAATCCAGTTATAGGAGGCTGTTCATAATGATAATAAGGAAAATCAAAGATGAGAGGGCTGCAAGCCTCCTCCAGACCGCCCCAACTGCCTGTTATTCACACCGAGCCCTCCTGTTTGATGGAGCATGCTCAGTGGAGGCTTCTGAATTTAGCCTGTTAAAACAAATCCCTCAGTTTAAGCAGCTGGATCATTGCACACTTTATAAACTCTGGGGGATTGAACCTGATGGGATCCACAGATAAAGGTGTAACTCTGGAGCTCGGATGCGCAAAACAAACAGACTCACACACACACCCTTGTGTCATATAGCATTATAATTTATTAATTTATTAGAGTTCAAGCTTTAAAGTTATTGTTTTATTTCAGTTGCAAGACTCTTCAGATGAGAACGTGTAATAAATAAATAAATCTGATGTGTGCTGATCTTGATCCATGTCAACACCATTCATGACAGCAGAGGGCGCTGATGATCCCTGCAAATATTGAAATGTTACCTTCATTTCTTTGTACTTTGTGCTTATTCTTTCACATTTATGTCAAACTTATTGTTCTTAAATATTTTAAGCAATGATACATGAATGAATTTTCTCACTAAACTGGGAAAACAGACTTGTTTTCTTTCTGTTATTCCTGTTTAAAGGAAATTGGGCTCCCTTCTTCCAGCTCCAGATGGTGGGCAGTTCCCAGTCTCGGTTTTCACTCCTCATTACAAAGGAGGAGTTAGCTCTATAGGGGTTTATAACAACTGGCCAGAATAAACCCAGTCTTTTGGCACAGACTGGGAATTCCCTGGAAGTAGACTGGACTTGTAATTTCTTTGATTTGAGCAAAAGGACGAGCTGAGAAAAGAAGTGGCAACATGGCTGTTGCAGGCTGCACTAAATGCATAAAATATATGTTATTCTTCCTTAATTTTATTTTCTGGGTGAGTTTAATTTTCCTTTTATGTTTTCAGCTACTGTATGTTAGGCTATGATAGGCCATTTCCTTCTGTTTATGAAAAACCAAACACTTATTTATTTATTTTGAATTTGTTTGGTGCATATCTGTGGGGGAAAAATCTTCCAAAACATGAGATCAGTTATTGAGAAGATAGTATTTGTCTGGAGAAGGAAGGCAGCATGAAAATGTGCTCACTCTTCAGTTTCTACATAACTCAGCTCTTTAGGTTGAATGGATAGAGTCCTCTGACTGGGATAACATTTTTTAGCAGTCAACAATCTCATTCTATTAATTAGCAATCACTATAATGACATTCCAGACTAACAAAGAATGTCTTGGAATTATTTTGTTGCTTTGGCTGCGAAACTGGACTAAATCACCTCTAAAATACTTTACAAAGCAGGTTTGACAGAACTGAGGTCAACCTTTAACCTTTATAATCTCAAGATTTATCACTGAAAACTGAACTTTGTAGAACTTCCTCCAAAAATAGGCTGCACATTTTTAAAACTTCACCAGGCAAAGCTATATTTTTATATTTTTGTTCAGATGAGCTCAAAGTCGCTGCATCCTGAAGGCTTGATCCAATGTTCCCTCTGTTGTTTGTTGCTGCTGCGCTTGTCTTTGCTAAAGCTCTCGAGTCCCGTCTTCCTCATTCTGCTATCTTTTTTTCACATTGTAGATTCAGTTTCCTGTTTCTGTGAGAACAATAGACGGGAGAAAAGTCACATATCTCCAACATGGAAATCGGCACTGACATTTAAACAATAAATGGCACAAGCCCAACTCCATCGTACATTTGATGTGAGGATATTTCAGTTGAATAAACGTTAGTTGAACAACAGCGTTGTTGATTTGGTTTTAAATAATCCTGAGAGGGAGCGATCTGTGCAGAAGGTCACTGAGGTCTCAGGATTTCCTTTCTTCTCTTATCAATAAGCTGCTGCATTACTGTGCCACAGAAATCAGCACTAACGCTTCCACTCGTCATAATGTTTATGTCTTGGCTTTTTCCCTATTTGTTTCTATTTAAAACTCTATCAGGTTTAATTAAAGTGCAAACATGATAATGAAAGCTTGTTTCTCTTTGGGATAGCTGGCCGGAGGTGTGATCTTAGGAGTGGCCCTGTGGTTACGCCATGACAGCCAAACCAGCAACCTCCTCATTCTTCAGTTTGAAGGCCAGCAGGCGCCGGGCACCTTTTACATCAGTGAGTGTACAGACCACATCAGTGTTGAAGTTCAGATTTAAACCTTTACTATAATAAAAACACTCAAGTGGAATTACAAAGGTTTTATGAGCTGTTTTATTTGAGGATTATTGTTAATTAAAAAAAGCTGCTGAGGTAAATTTCATTTTGAATAATTTTAACTTTGATCTTTTACCATGTTTGTTTAGCCCAAACTGCAAAACCATTAAGGATGCATTAAAGGTTTGGGACACTGAAATCCCATTTCATAATGATTGTTTCTGATTATAATTGGTCACTCTTGAGTTTTTCATGCAGGTTGAACATAAAAATAGTCTCCTTCACATATCTCCTGCCTAGCTTTTGATAGAAACTAGGCAGTGAAATTCTAGAATTTGAAAAGCATGACAGATCTACTTCACACTGTCACTTAAGATTCACGGACTCACCCAGCTTGACTCATGACGGAGAAGGCTGTTGATGGTTTAGCGTCCAGGAAACAGTAGAGAATGTCTGGGCTAGTAGAAGCTAACTGTTAGAATTAACAACTCCACCACACAGCAGAAACTCCTCCAAGCTTGAAATATTTGTGGAGATAAAACTTTCACATTGCAAATCGGTGATAGAGTCATGTTGATGTTATGCAATCCAAGTAAAGATGACCAAATATCAGGAAGTACTCCTAAACCTGCCGTCCAAAGCTCCACACACACACACACACACACACACACACACACACACACACACACACACACACACACACACACACACACACACACACACACACACACACACACACACACACACACAACTTACAAGGTTTTCATTTATACTGCAAAGTGAACTACCACTTTAAAATGATTGAGATGTAAAAAAAAAAAGAAAAAAAAGAAAAAGACATCAAGAACATTGACATCTGCGAGGCTGAAACTACAAAGTAACGACAACTTGGTCATTTATTTTCTCTGAAGTAGTATCAAGTAATCATTTCTCATGTATTTAAAGCTAAGGCTAGTATTTTTAAGCATTTGTAGCAATGGTGTCCAAACCTTTACCACACAGCCCAAAAGAGTTAGAAATATTGTCAGTAATAAATAAACAAATAAATGTTAACTTTACAGCACCAGATTTTACAGTGAAAACTATTAAGTAAAGATTTAGTCTCTAAACTTGGTTTTGGTTCATCTAGAATTCCTTAATGGTTTGTTTTTATTAATTTGTCCTCATGATAAAACTTTAACTATTAAAACACCAATAAAAGGTCAAATTCGAAAGAATTACTGTGTTTTATGCTCAGCTGGCTTTTTTTTTTTTTTGTAATTGTAGGGACAGTTTGACCTCTCAACAGAAGAGAGGGAAACAGGAAGTGCGTGAATCCGCAACTCACCGTAAGCGTGACCTCACCCTGCTGTCGCTTTTTCATTCATAATCACACTGAGGGACATTTATCTGTCAAACACGCTGAATTTTCATAAACAAATGAAACAGCTTCTCCCTCTCTAGCCAGTTACCTCAAACAGATGTTTAGACAGATGTTGATCCTGAAAATAAAAGCATCTTCCATAAAGGTGGTGCACAAATGAAGCCAATGGGTGTTGACGTCTACATTTTAAAGAGTTTTCTCTTTGAAACTCCAAAAGTTTGTTTTAATCTTGTCGCTCTGTAAGAACAGCCTTCAACTCTGAAACACAACAAGATGTAAACATTTACTGGTCCATGATCTTGGTTTGCTGTGGTGGTGAACTCCAGCAAACCTTTAATTTCCATGTGGGAGCCGGCTGCCCTGCTATACTTACTGCTGTGAGTTTGTGGCACAAAGTCCAACCCGAGCTTTTTATAGTGGAGAGGCGCACTCGTGATTTTAAAGGCAGCGCGGCGAGAACGGCCCACCCAAGTCAAGATCAAGGGAATATTTTTTTAACCCTCCCTTAAACACACGCCCTTACATAATCCAAATGAATTTACATCTACACATTATCCCTCAAATTAGAGTTTTAAGTGGATGTTTTTAGCTTCCTGGCAACTCAAAGTGGTATTTATGTAGTACTGGAAATACACATGCTCCCACCTCTGCTCCAGCGCTTGAGATTATTATTGTTGGTTCTGGTCTGGTTAGTGCTACATGTCTTTACACAGACACAGTTTGTAGTATCAGCTGAACTTGTGATGAGGAAAACGAGAATATCACAAAAGTTCTTGTTTGTAAGAATAAACTGAGAGTTAGAGGATGGTTAGCTTTTTTTTAATAGGTGAGGAAACAGCTGTCCTGGTGCTGTTTGGTGTTAATATTAAATCTATATTTAAACAGAGTAATGCTCAAAAAGGTGTCAGCTTTTTAATTGTTAGTGACTAAAGAGATCACAGTGAGACGAGCCAGTTGAGGTGGCTCAGCCATCTGGTCAGGACACCTCCTGGTGGGGTTTTCCGGGCTCGTCCAATCGGGAGGAGACCTAAAGAAGGACCCAGGACACAGCTTGGGATTCCCCTGGATGAGCTAGACCAGGTGGCTGGGGAGAGGACAGTCTGGGGCTCTCAGCTTAGGCTGCTTCCCCCACTACCCAACCAGAGATAAGCGGATGAAAATTGGATGGATGGGTGGCAAGGTGGAGAAATGAGGGCCCGGGCGGGATTCGATCCCCAGGCTCCCGGGTGAGAGTCACACGCGCTAACCAGCCAGCCAAAGGGGCATCCCCTTGGCCAAGTAGCCAGGGCGCATGATCAATCGGGACGCTCACACTGCCACAGATGGATGGATGGATGGATGGATGGATGGATGGATGGATGGATGGATGGAGATCGCAGTGAGAGAGAAGGTAGACAAATACCTATTCAGTTGCTGAAACCACTACTGATAAAGGTGATAAAAATAAGGAGAGATAAACTTTTATGAAAAAGATTTTCTTTAAACAAATTTCATTTTTAGGCCCGAGCGGCGAAAGCGCTGCGAAGGCCTGTTGTATCTGCTCTGTTTATTTTTCTTCCGCCAAGTAAATTGGCTTTTTGGAGGCTTTAACATACCTGAAAACTCAGGAATTTTTGCACACATGTCAGGCGTGGTGTAAAATTTTGTATTTTAAAGGTCCCAAAAAATCGCAATTAAACTAGCTCCACAGCGCCCCCTAGAATGTGAAAAATACCCCCTCCTTAAACCTTAGTTTGCCGTACAGTTATGAAATTTTGTACACTTGTAGTACTCAACAGTCCGCACAGAAAAGCCTCTTGCAACCATGGTCAACATCAAACAGGAAGACCGCCATTTTGGTTTGAAGTGGTGATTTTGACCACGTTTTGGCCGTTTCTAAGGTCCTCTTCTGATTGATTTACTCAATCATTTTTTGCACGATCATCTCAAAATTGTGGTAAATTGCTCAGAAGGGATGGACAATCAAATATAAAACCAAAACTGACTTTTTGTTTATGCCGAGGGGGCGTGGCCAGGCCTCAAAGTTTGGCTACTCGCCAAAAAAATATAAATGGCTATAACTTCATACCCAAAAGAGTACAGTTACAAAACTTTCTGTGATCATTCGACATCCAGTCTCAAACTAGTATGAATGGTCGGATGATGACACCACACAAGCCCGGCCCCCTCAGGACCAAAAAGGTCAAGTTTTACTATGATAGGTCCCAAATCGCCCCTTTTCACTTAATCACCACAAATTTGTAGCTGGTAACTCAAGACAAGTGGGGGTTGCTTGGCGTCACTTTATGGGAGTTTTCAAAAGAGGGCAGGGCTGTGGCGGCACAGCAAAGTCAGGCGTACCGCCGTGGCCATACGTTTGTCTCCCATTACATCATTTCTAAGGATATCACAACGAAACTTCTGGTGAGTGATCCTAGTCCGGCCCCCCAAAAAATCTGATGTGAAAATCTGGTGGGCATGGCCTATTTTCTTAAATAGCGCCCCCTAGGGCCATTAAAACTGTCAGCCCCAAGCCATGCTTTGACTGAGGATTACGAAATGTGGTACTCTAATATAGTGTCTCAGGACTTACAAAAAAGTCTCTTGGAGCCAAGCGCTAAGTTGCACAGGAGGTCGGCCATTTTGGTCCAAGTACTCGATTTAGTGGTTTTCGCACAAGTTTTTTGGAGAATGATGCCCCGTCGCCCTTTTCACCGATCGCCTTCAAACTTCTGCTATATACTCTTAAGCTATAGGGGAAAAATTCAGCCATCGGATTTTTCTAAAGTTTATGTTTATGTTTATGTTTATGTATTTAGCAGACGCTTTTGTCCAAAGCGACTTACAAGTGATAATCGGCATGTTGCCCTTGAGGCTAACAACAACAACAACAACAACAACAAACAATTTCCAGTCAGTCATAGGTGGCAGTGAGGCAGCATGATGAATCATGGAGAGGAGGGAACAAGGAGTGAACAGTAGAGAGGGGGGGCGGGTGCAGGGAGGGTGCTAGTTTAGAAGATGCTCTCTGAAGAGCAGGGTCTTCAGGAGTTTCTTGAAAATCAAAAAGGAAGCCCCTGTTTTGGTAGTGCTTGGTAGGTCATTCCACATTTGTGGAACGATGCATGAGAAGAGTTTGGATTGTCCTGAGCGTGTTGTAGGCACTGCTAGCCAACATTCCCGTGATGACCGGAGCAGCCGGGCCAAGACGTAAGCCTTTGCAAGCGGATTCAGGTAGATGGGAGCTGTACCATCTCTGACTTTGTATGCTAGTGTTACCAATATGAATTTGATACGTGCAGCTAGCAGTAGCCAGCGGAGGGGTGACATGTGCTCTTTTTGGCTGATTGAAGACCAGACACGCCGCTGCATTCTGAACCATTTGAAGAGGTCTCATAGTACAGGCTGGAAGACCAGTTAGAAGGGCATTGTAGTAATCAAGGCGGGAGATGACAGTAGATCGCACCAGGAGCTGGGTGGCATGTTGTGTTAGGTATGGTATAATATTTCGTATGTTATACAGCGCAAAGTGGCATGAACGAGCAACAGAGGCAACATGATCTTTAAAGGTCAGGTGTTCATCAATCACAACACCCAGATTTCGAACTGCCTTTGAAGG